TGGCTCTTAAGGTTTTTTGATCCATGGCAGGGTGTTTTTTTTTAAGCTTTCATAAAAGTGATAGATTGTGAAAGATTTAAGCATCCCGTTACGCAAGGGCTTTCAAAATCACGCTTAAAACATTGACTGTTTTAGTGGAAGAGCAAACACTTATTCAGTGTTCAGCTGTCCTCTCAACAGGTAGGAAATGGATAATTTAGTCTTAATTCGTACCTTCTTGAAGCTTGTATTAAAAATAGCCAAAGAATTATGTAGTTAAACTTCTATAACTCTGTATGAACAGTTGGGAATAGCTTGTGTGTGTGTCATGGTTTTCCTGTACCAAAAGTATTCTTTAAGGAGTTTAATTTAAAAGTAACTTTGTATTTTAACTGCAAGGTAAATTAAGGTATAATTATGCAAAAAAATTAACATCGGCCTGGTGCAGTCACCGAAAAACACTGAGCTGCTTAGACTTGTTGATTCTTAGAGCTGCATCGTCTTCACAGTGTTCTCCTAAATAAATCTTTGAACTACTAGGTTGGAAATGCAGCTTATGAGATATTAATGATAGTTAACTCCTCTTTAGTTACTTCTGACTTAGCAGAGCTAAATTCTTCCCCCAAGTTGGTAGAAGTGTTTTTTGTACGTGCTTTTTAACAGTCAACTTGAGATTATGTGTAATTGATGATAACTAATGTCTAATTACCATAATTAGACAAGTGACATAAAATTAAGCTGCAGCTGGGAGCTTGACTCCAACATGAGGTGCTCTGATATGCATCATAATGTGCACAAAAAGAGGGTTGGCAGAAGGGCATTTAAATAAGAATATGACATAAGGATCTATCCCATTTTATACTTGGAACTCTTATTAAAAAGATTAAGCAGGAAATGACCTCTGGCTCTTTAATGAGTTGAGGCCTTTTGGCAAATGGCAACCAGCAATTTAAAAAATTAAATGTTTTCTATGTTTGCTTTGTTTCCTTAAATGTTCATTCAGTAAGGTACTGTATCATCAGACGTATGGTATTTTTTAAAGATATTTTAGTTAGTTTAAATTCCGTAGTGACTTAGAAAAGCCCATTTTGTGCTTTGTACCTACCTTTGCTTTGCCTTTTTCTTCTTGCAATGAGTGGGGATGTTTTGGAGAAGATCTTGGTTACTGGGACAGAGCAAAAGTCTGTAACTGCTCCAGATTTCCTCTTTGGAAGTGTGGAGTAACTTCCGTAGAGCCTGCAAAATGTCAAAATTCAGCAATTTTATTGTGAGTTTAGTCTTATTGCACCTGGAGTTTTACTGCTTAGATGAGCTGTTCTTTTGCCTATAAAATGGTGGAATTTGTAAGAAATGTATACCCTAAATGTCTTTGTACATGTAGATTATTCTGCTGCCCTCATACTGGAATGTAAGCATAAGAAAGAAAGGTTATGAGGACATTTTTCAAACCAGATTGTTCAGAATTTATTGGGTTTACTGTGTATTGCTGCATAGTAAAGTTGTATCCCTAGCTTATAAAGCAGCCTAGGTCAAATTCATCCCTTTGTAGATGTCAACGGGATCTTACTGTAGCGTGAGGCCTTAAAACTCTTCTAAACTCATATATTGTTTAAGCCATAGTGACTGAGTGGTCTTTTTATCTGTCTGCATTTGCAAACTCTCCTTATATTTTGCTGTGTCTTGATCTCAGGAATACCCAAGGGTTTTTTTGATGCACTTGGGGCTTCATTAACCCTTTTTCTAGACCTCAAGGCAGAACTCTGCGAAAGCCTCTGAAGGGCACGTAAACGCTTCCCCCAATGTCAAGTTGTTCTTTCCCCTTCCAGAAATAACCTCTTGCTTCCCTCTTTATATCCATCTAGTGTTAAGTATTCGCGGTATTCAGGAAGAAGATCCCCCAGATGCTCAGCTAATGAGACTAGATAACATGTTGCTGGCAGAGGGTGTCTCCGGGCCCGAGAAAAGAGGAAGAGGAGGACCGATGGCTGTAGCAGCAACATCAGGTGGCTGTCCAAATGACAATAGCATTGAACACTCTGACTACAGGGCCAAGCTGTCACAGATCCGACAGATATACCACTCTGAGCTAGAGAAATATGAACAGGTGATCTTTCTGCATGGAAGAGTTTTTATCATCTCAATTTAAAATGATCGTTTTTTCCTTTTGGTTTTAAGAACAGGACAGGAAGTAGAATAAATTCAGATGACTGTAAGGCTATCAAATTCGATTAAGATTTAATCAGTGTTGTAGAAGTAAGGTGTAGATAGAGGGACGTGACATCGAGCTGAAGATAATGAATGTCTGATTTATCTTTGTTGCAGTATTTTTAGAGTAAATAAAGATGAAACATGGGAACTCCTAAAGTTTTGGGGGTATATATATATGGGGAAGTAAATTCTGGGGTATTTTATTGTTTGTCGATACAAATGTATGTGTTTCCAGGCCTGTAGTGAGTTCACTACCCACGTTATGAACCTGCTTAGGGAACAGAGTAGAACAAGACCCATTTCACCAAAAGAAATAGAGCGCATGGTGAATATAATCCATGGCAAATTCAGTACCATCCAGATGCAGCTGAAACAGAGCACGTGTGAGGCCGTGATGATCCTGCGATCACGATTTCTTGACGCAAGGTACTAAGAAAACACACTCTAGTGATAAGTTAAGGCTGAACATTTCCATTACTTAATGCCAATGATTTCGTGCTAAAACTTAAGTCCTGTCATTCCCAGTGTTGATCTAGTTTAAATATGTAGAACTCGCCGCCTGTTACACTTCCTAAGGAAAGCCCGTTTTGTCACCACGTCTGTTTAATTCAATTCTTATGTTCCTTAAAATCAAGTATATTAGAGCACACCACAGCCCGTTCTCTGGTGCACTGTGTAAATATTCTATATTTACATATTCTCATAGGCGTAAACGACGTAATTTCAGCAAGCAGGCGACGGAAGTACTGAATGAGTATTTTTATTCGCACCTGAGTAATCCTTACCCCAGTGAAGAGGCCAAAGAAGAGCTAGCAAAGAAAGGTGGCATCACCGTTTCACAGGTATGAAGCGTTTCCTTTGCAATTGCCTTCAGTAACACTTCTTTGAGCATTATTGTTTGACCCCTATAATTAGCAGTAGGATTATGTTACCAGTTCTTACAAATATACAAGCTTTAGTTATTTTTGAGGTGTTTGGTAGTCTTTTTTTCTGCTTGAAGACTAGTTAAAAATGTACTTGTGCTAGTAACTGCAGAATATGGTTGGAAATAGTAATATTTTGATCAAGTACTGATAGGTAATCTTTTGATTAAGTACTAATAGGGGTATCCTTCTCTAGGTTTCCAACTGGTTTGGTAACAAAAGAATTCGATACAAAAAAAACATGGGGAAATTCCAAGAAGAAGCCAATATTTATGCTGCAAAAACTGCAGTGGATGCAACAAATGTAGTGGCTCAAGGCAACCAGGCAAATTCTCCATCTACACCAAATTCAGGCAAGTGAAGATGCCAATGAAGAGCCCCTGGGCTTGAAAATCTCAAATTATTTCTTATAACAACATGGACCACAGGCTACTGGTGTTCAAGACCCTCCTAAAACATATTTTTGTTTTAGCAAACTTAGATATACGCAGTACTCCTAGAAGAACCAGGGGTGGTGGATGTAGAGTTTTGTTTCCTTTTTTCCATCTGTTTTTCATTCAGCAAAACTTGTTCGTTCTTTTTCAGCTTCCTCTGGCTCTTTTAAGATGACAAATTCCGGAGACTCGTTTATAAATTTGCAGTCTTTGACTTCCTACCAGAGCTCCCCAGTGGGAGCCAATGTGCAGTCACAGGTAAATATTGTAAGAAAAGAAATACACACAACAGGATGAATGTTAAAAGCCTGTGCTTTAAGCTTTCTGCTTGATTTCTAAACATGTCTAAACTGCCTAGAATCTTTCCTGTACAATAAAAACTATATATGCTATTGTGGGCTTGAGACTAGATTCTGAAAAACATACCCTAAGCATTTCTCAATGCTGGAGGATCATCCCTTCAGAAAGGACCAGCTAATATCTTTCTGTGGAGAAAATACCTACAGCCATAAAAAGCTTGTCCTCCGACAGCAAAATCTGTCCCTTATTTAAAGATTTTTTTTTTATTTTTTGGCCCAATTGATATGTACCACTCATACTGCTTCATTTTAACTTAACTTTTTCCCTTATCATTCTGTGGCATCTTGTTATAGATGGATTCCTTGCATCATGTCATACATCAGACAGGAAGATATGACACAATTGTGGGGAATCCTTTGTATACGACGCAGCGCATAGATGTAAGATGTCCTGAGGTATTATTTTACTAGCAACAAAACTGCCTGAGATTTGGTTAATGGATCTATGAATAAATGTGGGATATTTTTCTTCCATGTTTGGTGTTGATGGGATAGGAAAAAAGGGTGTGGGTTTTTTTTATATATATCTATATATATACACATATAGATATATATATGTGTGTATATATAGATAGTATATATATACATATAGATATGTATATATATAGATAGTGTATATATATATATATACATCATATATATATATATATATTTATATATGTATATATATATCTCTTCAGTTTGTTCTTGCCTTAAGTACTAGTTTTTTACCGTATGTGCTCGGGCTGTGTTTTCCTAGAGCAGATATTTAGCTACTTGTTTTCATAAGCACTGTCACTTGTAATGTGTAAACATGTGCTTTCTTGCCTGCAGTTTCTTAAAGATTTAATGAAATGATACATTTATTCTCCCTTCAGGCTAATGGCAGCTGGCAGGATGCTACCACCCCTTCATCAATCACCTCACCTGCTGGAGACCCTGGAAGTGTTAATTCGGATGCGTCTAATTAAGTTCTTAGGACCTATTGATGAGAGGAAAGAGGTCATTAGTGTAATTTGTCAATGTTGCTCTTTTGCCAACACTATTGTTTGTACAACTTGACACACAGCTAATTACCTCAGAAAAAATCCTGGAACCAATAGAAGATTGTGATTACAATGATACCTCTCTACCTCTCAGCCTCGTGCAGTTGAGTTCTTTTTACTTATGCCCATTGGGATGTGAAATTGTTTTGAAAGAACTTGCTTCATTTTCCTAACCAAATTCATTTTTTAAAATATCAATTTTATGGTAAGAATCTGAAAGTGTCTCTTCTAGAACTTGGCGTTTGTCTCAAGTTTTACAGTTTAAAGAAAAAAGATGACTTAATTTCCATAAATTTTTTTACTATGAAATCTCTGTTCTAGGTGATAGATACTAACAATTAACCCCCTTGTATTGTAATTGTATGCGTTCTCTGTATTGTAATTTTGTATAGGAAAATAAGCTTTTCTTAAGTAGAGTTCATTCTGAGCTAATTGATCAGAACATTGCTTTACCAAAACTCTCATGGGGCTTTGCTCTTGACTAGGACTTTCCATCCTGTGTCATTTCACGTGATTCTAATTTAATGTCTAGTGTTTAAAAAAAAAAAAAAAAGAACTTCCCTCTAAGATTTTTTTTGCGGTTGTTAATACAAACTCCACCCTCTTCCGTTGAAATTTTATCAAAAATAATAAACTTCCAAAGCCTTTTTTTTTTTTTCTTTTCTTCTTCCTTCCCGCCTTTTTCAGAGCCTGTCGCAGCGCCGGGTGCTGATAGCGCCGCGCCGCCTCACAGCGAGAGGCGGGAGGGGCGTGGCGGGGGCGGG